ATTTTCATTCTATCAGGGCTGTTCCTCTAGAGAACCCTGACTAATATACCAGGTTTGCCTGATGTCATCTGCTAGCTATTTATAAGCAGAGCTTGCTGCTTCTCACTCAGTTGAATTCTGGCCATCTTTGCCCAAGACTCTAGCCTCTAATTCCCCATGATTTCTGAAGAACATTATCCCTTTCCCAGGAGGAAACATCATTACCACATTGACTCCAACTGAAAGTGACTTCAAATTTAGGGCAATCTTTATTTTCAAAGTAGAGGAAATATTTTAAATTTCAAAAATGTAATCCATCATACAAAAACATTCTGTCCCTTGACCCTTGAGGAATGAGACAACCCTTGCCTCTCTCAGCGTTCTGGTGCTGAATGAAGTTGGAGTTAGATAACTATAATGAAAATTCATCTGTTCTCCTAGCAGCCCCCTCAGGCCGGCTCTTCAACAGCCTGCAATATGACTGACCTACCATCCTGAGAGTTATGGGTTTGGATCCTAACCATCTTTCTATCTCACGTGACTGATGATCTGATTTGGAATGATACAGTCCTAGCTATCAGTTCATTCTGTTTATCTACATATCGGAAAAAGTTATATTTCTTTTTTTTTAAAAAATACCTTTAGTGACCTACTTTGAGTAGGAGTGTATTTTCTCACCGGCTCTATTCCCATGCACTCACTCTTTCTGGACACTTGGGTAGCTTCCTCATCTCAGAATTTACTTGGCACTGTGAAGAAATTGAAACTAAAGTTTTCTGGAATACCTCTATTTCATTCTCTGAGGCTTGCCACATTCAGGGAAAGTCACAGGTCCTAAATCAAGGCATTTGTTTCTAGCAAAGAGGCAGAGAAGCCAGACCATACACACTAAGACTCAAAAAGCCACTTGGAGCCTAAAGCTCCATGAGAGAGGCAGAGAAGAATACCTCAGGAATTTGATGTTTTTGTCTCTCTGTGGATTTTCTGGCGAGAAACAAGAGATGGAAATTCCTTGGACATAATCATGTGGCTAGAACTATAGTCTCTTCCAGGAGTCAGCATCCGAAGAGCCAAGTCCTTGGCCAGGAGGCAGCATGTGGCCATGAAACACACACGGATTCAAGAGCCAGAGAACCTCCACCTGGTGTGCAATGGGAAGAGCTGGGTGGTACTCTTAGGCAGACTCTTTCCTTGCCCTGAGCAACCAGATGGTGGGGACAGTTATTCCCAGCCCGTGGGTGTGAGCAAGTTAGCCAAAGGTTTGGGCACAAAACCTGCAAACAAGAGACAAACAAAAAATAGGCTACTCCAAGATGGAGAGATGAGAGAAGTTAGCCCACTCATGTGACTGATAGAAAAGCAACTGAAGCCTATCTGGGAATTGCAGTTTAGTGGAGTGCTCCCTCCAGTGATTAAGGCCATGGGCTCAGTCCTTGGCACCAAACAGTAGCTGAAGTTCTGCCACTGACTGACTGGAACCTAATTAGCACCAGTAAAGTAGTGATGATAATCCTTACCACCTAAGGGTGCTGTAAAATGTGTGGTTAAAATAAATTAAGCAAAGGCTGGGGTGGCTCAGTGGTTAAGAGCACTTGTTGCTCCTGCAGAGGACCTGGGTTCAGTTCTCAGAACGAATATAGTGGCTCACAACTATTTGTAACTCTATTTCCAGAGATCTAATGCCCTCTTCGGACCTTCTTGGGCACCTGTTCTCACATATACATACCCACATTCAGACACATACACACCAAAAGTCTTAATAAAATATACCAAGAGCCTTAAAAAAAAAGAATCTAATCTCTTCTAAACCTCGGATGGGGCTTTGATGGCTGTACAAGTGTGTCAGTCAGGGGAAGTGGTGACTGAAATTCTGTGACAGTTACAGCAAAACACAAGATAAAGAAAATAACCCCAAGCAAGCTAAGTCAAATGACCACAAGTCTAGGTGGAAAGTCACACTACCTGTGTTCCAATTTAGTAGCTATCTGATCTGGGGGTATTACCTATCTTCTCATGGTTTCTGCAGCCATAACATGGTGACAGTAACAATAGTAACCTGTTCTGTAGGGTTGCTGTGAAATGTTTGGCTCTATTGATGTAATCATTGCATCATCATCATCATCACCTTCATACACTTAACTCAGGAAAGAAAGGCTATGTTGCAATGGAGAATGAAATGCCATTACATTACTCCCAGTTTTGAGACACCCGCCATCAGTTATCCAGTTGGCACAATGAAGCCACGCCTCGGTTTATCCAGTGCTTCTGGGGCATGTCTGTCGGAAGTTCAATGGACAGGACATAGTTGGTAGAGTGGCCAGTGGTAGAAAGGGTGCCCCTCCGGGCACTTGTCTTATACACTGGACACACGTAAATGTCCTGATGCAGGAATAATGAACTGTCCCCAGGTTTCAGCCAAATGATGGGCAATGGGTCATAGAGGATTTTGGGGAGAGATTCTCCAATCTGCATCGTTTTCCTGTCCCAACGGGCACCTTCAAGGAAAAGCCCTTTGATATAGGCCCCATCTTCTGGGCTATTCTCCATAGTCATTTCTTGTGTGGTTACCTGAAAGAATGGAAAGCTATGAGTTTCATAATCTGTTAGTTTCCCTGCACGTGGTAAGAAT